AAACAGTCAGCATCTTTTCCTCTCTTGAAAGATATATTTGCTGACTTCCGTTACATTTCAGAGATTTTGAAAAGGTAAATATTTGGAGGTCCTTATATGGATTTATGGGCTCTATGGTGGGTCAATGGTTAGGCTCTTGAGTATTATGTGAATAGTCGGCAGTTCAAACTTGCCATGGGAGAACACATCTGGAGAAGTCCACAACTACACCCATAACAAGCTCAGCCTCGGGAACCATGGGGGCATCTCTGTTATGTCCCATGAGTCCTTAGAGGAATATCAACTTGACAGCACACAACTACAACACCCAGACCGACACCTTTCCTGCAAACCTATTCTCCATTGCGTTGCTCTGAACCAACTGCTAATCTAATGGAACAAAACACTAGAGAACAAGCACGAAAAATATACAATCATAGACCTACTGGGGGCTAACCGAAGCTCTTGAAAAGGCTGAGATTAATTGAAAAGTGTATCTAATTCATGGAGAAGAACAATCATAGATCTTTGAACGACATGTGATCTATGGAAGGGGACTTAAACAGCTAGCTCCACTTTAAACCAAGTGCCGTGTCTGTGTGATGTGTGAAAAACGTGGTTCAACTTTGACCTGAAAAGAGTTCACTGAATAATGTTCACACCTGATGAGCTATCAGGATGATGTTTTTGTTTGTTTGTTTAGACTCCCTAAGGGGAGGTCAGAGCATGAGTTATGCTGTTCATGCGGACCACCTTGCATGGTCACCTTTCCAATGTGCTTGTTTTTCCTTTCCCCCTTTTATTTTTGGGGCAGGGCCTCTGCCCTAAGAAAAGCCTATCCCCATTTGAGTGCATGTTGAATTGAAGGAAGCTTGGAGGTGAAAGCAGAAATCTTTGTGATTGAATCTGGCCTATTAATGAAAGTTCATATAAATCACAGCCCACACAGCTCTACGGTATATGAATAAAACATTACACCTGGAGGCAGCAGGAGGTCATCTATCTCACTACCTTCATGAATCGGCAAGTTTGCTCTTCAAGGCCGGGGCTACAGATCACTTGGGAAGGGAGGCATGCCCTTTGCATTAGCATCTTTCTAGTCAAGCCAGGGTTTCTATTCAGCTGAGGCCCATCTCTTGTCTCTGATAAACACCTGGCTTTAAAGTCGGCTCCTGAAAACCCATTGGAGCACGGGCTGCTCTCACCTGACACGCGGGATGGACCAGAGTCAGAGTGACTGAGGAGCCACTGGTTCGTATTTTTCATGCATTCGTATTTTTCCCATGTTTAAAGAGATTTCCCAAATTCAGCACAGTCAGGTTCAGAGATTGGATAGGTGCTTGAACCAGACCTGGCGAGACACCAAGTGCAAACAGCACTCTCTGGTTTGCAATGCTTACAATTTCCTCAGTCGTAGGTCAAATGTTTTTATCACGGTAAAGACTGCTGTGGAGGCAAGCTGTTGACTGACAGGGGGTACACATGCTTTGGTGAAGGTGATGGCCATGTTGAAAATCCATGGCTGTATGAAGGGAAGGGAGGAGATGCTGAAGTCCGGGTCTGTGGTGAGGCGGTTATCATGAATCCTGGAATGTTCGATCCATTAACTATTTTGGTTTGGTTCAATCACGCAGTGGTCACGACCTGGTTTGACAGCTATCCGTGACTTGTGCACGAAGGTGATTTTTCTTTCAGACTGTTATCAGCCCAGCAGATTCCTCCATGGGGCCATCTGCTCCGTTTTGCAACCCTCAGCTGTTCTTGAAGCAGAAAAAAACGCTCCTGCAAGGAAAAAAAAAAAAA